TGTGTGTGTGTGTGTGTGTGTGTGTGTGTGTATGTATGTATGTATGTGTATATATATACACATTTTCTAAGTATGTATAACGCACATTTTGGATTTAAGTTGATCGTCCTTTTTGTGCAAGTGTCAAGACTACTTTTAGTTCTCATTCCAGTGATAAGTATGAAAATGAGAGTCATTTACTTATATGTGAGTTCCCTAGACCGGTTTCAATTACAACCTTACATTCTCCAATACTGGTATTTAGAAGGTATGTACCAGTGAAATCAGTAGGACTTCTTCTAAGTAGATATTTTTAAATACATAAAATTCACCTTTTTTCCCCCAACTATAATCAACTAAATTAAATAGAGCCACACTGAAGTTTTAATTTTATTCTTTTTAGGGTAAATGTTATATATAAGGGACAAGTTTATTCAAAACTGAGAAACAAAATGAGTTCATTCTTACCTACAAAAAATTCTGGGTAACTCTTAAAAGCCATCTGTTATTGAAGCGGCAAATATTCACAGAACACCTAAAGAAAAATATATTTGGATTAATCAAAAATGTTTTCTCTCAATATTTGCAGATATCTATTCAATAAAATTCTTGAAATTATGTCAGTACTATCTATAAAGTTAAGCACTAAAAGTTTCTCATAGGCTATAATAAAAGCATTCAAAGCTTTCTGCTTAACACAATCTTTTTTACCACCTCTTAAGGGGAAGACACAACAGAAGTGCCGTACAGACATTTATTCCAAAACCAGTATTCATGCAACTGCAAGTATGAGAGAAGAGAAAAACCAAATATGCTTAGCTTTCTCTTATTCTCAAAGATTACACACATTTAAAATATTTGTACTGTTTGTTTGAAGCCTTGAATTACACCATTTAACTGAGATTCCACCTGAGATGATTTTGTATTGCCGTTTTGAGAGTGAAGTTTTTATACTCCCCAGAAGTATCCAAATTTTAGTCCCTTAACATTTACATCTCGCTTTAACCTCATTTTCTTGAACTGATGTAAAAAAAATCCTTGGCCATTTTTAGCTTTATTTTAAGAGCTGACTTTATTATGATTTTCCAGTCATTTAAGACTTTCAAATCCACAATCATAACTTTAAAGCTTCTGTGAAACCTCATAACTTATTCTATACATAATTTTTCTTTAAAAAATGTCTCACAATAGCTTCTGGTTGCTTAATCAGTTGAAGTCACTATATCTCCAAAGAATTTTAACAACATTTGCTAATATTTTAAAAATATAGCAAATATTCGCTCCATGCTAGAACTTTTTTATCTGGTAAACTTTTAACATTACTGAAAGTCTAAGAAACATTACATATTAATTCAGCAGGAAAATAAGAACACTAAGACAAAGACAAATTAATTAACACACCAATTAAAAAAATGGACAGCCTATCATCCAAATGTTTATTTTAAACAGTTACGTTCCAAACATTAAGCACCTGAAACCAATGAAAAAGTAACTAAGCATTTTATTTAATGCTAAGCTTTTACCATCAACTAACAAAGAGAAGTTTAAAGATTAAATTTGTTTGTATGAGAAAAATGCCAGAAAATTCAAACTTCAAATAGGACACATCACAAAAATGCATTCTCCAACTTTTAAACTGTTTTCATATTTAGTTCAATCCATCACATATTATTAGTTTTTCACTCATTATCGACTCTAGTTCTAATTTAGCTTACTCAATTATATAACTGGCATACTTCTAAAAGATCCATGTATTTAAAGAACCTTATGTGTTTCATCCTAAACTATCATTAGAATCTTTCTTTTTGGATAAAATGTTTTTAATTTTGTATCACTGACCAAAAAGTAAACAGTCTTGTTTGGAAATTGTTTCCACATACCAAGTTTAGAAAGAGTTAAATGCCAACACCCAAATACAGAAAAACAAATTTGTTTGGAGAGAAAGAGACAGCCATGGCGTCTTTTGTTCTTACAAAAAAATAAACAGGTCTGTTTCCCCTTTTCAGTAACAATGGAGGACACCCACTCTTTAAAGAACTTGAGACTTTGTCGCAGACATACTGTATATGGAATCACAGTATACCTTTCATTTCCCTGCCCCAAATATTTTAAGAGGGTGTTGTCCCAATTTGCTGCAGACCCCCCACCCTATGTAGCTCCATAGCAAACTATCCTCAGATACCTCCCCTTCAGTTATTCTCCTAAGAAAATCTTTTACAGAAATCCTGCACACAGACCTTGCAAATCTGTACTGAGAAGAACTGCATGGACCCCAAATAGGGGGGGGGGGGGGGCATATATTCCCTAGATTTCTGCTGGGTAAGGGAGGGGGAAGAAAGGAGGAAAACTGCAGTTCCAATGGCGGCTCTGTTTTGACACCAACCTCCTTGAGTGTCAGGCTCTGCACCTAACCAGGAATCTACCCAGAACCCCCAATTCAAACTGAGGGGACTCTCTAAAAAACGGAACCAAAGGAAGTTTTAACAGCCCTTTACAATGATACAAAGAAAGAGAAGAAAGGAAAAGCCAGTTCCTTCTGAATGCCAACCTTGAATTCGAGATTCTGTTTTTAACCACAGAATCCCCTCACTGCACCCCCCAATTCGTTTTAGGAACATCCACACCCACAAATGCGGACTTTCACATCAAGAGAAACCCCAGCAAGATCAACGAGGGATCCCAACTTCTCACTCATCTTCTCGCTGGGATCAAACCCTCTTCTTCTAAAGTCCTCCCCCACTGGAGTTGGGGGGCCACTCCAAGATTGGGGGAGAAGGGTTCCCCGGCTCCTTCTGCAAGACAAGCCCAATCCGAGGAAGAGGCTGGAAGGGGGCTTCCATCCTTTCTTCGACGCCCACCTTGGAAGCTCAGGTCCTATTCCTGACCGCGGGAAGCCTCGGCGCCCCGATTCTAGCTGGGGGACCCCCTCCCGCTTTCGAGGCGTCTGAACTGGGTTTTTCCCGCGGGACTCAAACAGGCAGGCAGGGTACCCGGGTTCTTGCCGATGTTCCCCCTACCTTCCCGCCCTGCGGCTCCCAGGCGGCTCCAAGGACATCTTGTTTTCCTTCTCAAGGACAAAGAGACAATGGCGGAGTGGGGGGGCAGAGAAGAAAGAGAGGGACTTCGCAGGGCGGCAGCAGAGGCGATACTCACCGTCCTGAGGGGGAACGCCAGGCGAGCCGAGCGGGGCATGCCGAGCGGCGGCCCGCGGGCGGCCGGGCGGGCGGGCGAGCCGAGGCTGGTCTGCCGCAGAGGCTGCTCTCTCCGCGCGGGTTCGCCTCGCCCGTCGTGTTCTCAAAGGCGACAGGACACCCTCCCCCCCCGCTCGGGAGCCCCGGCCAGCGGAGCCCCC